CTATCCCTTAAGGCCTTGGTCCTCAACTGGTGGGTCGTGACCCAAAAGTGGGTCACGACCCCATGTTTAGTGGGTCGCCGCGTGCCTTCCACTTTTCTAGGTGAGAGGCTCCTCAGCCTCCCCCTAGCGCAGCACCGTCAGTTCTTGTGCTGAACAGCCATTCAAAATATGCTGCCTGGTGCCGAGTGTCAGCTTGAGGTGGGGTGAGATTGTGTCTGTGGTTGTGTGTGTCTGTCAGTGTTTTTGAGGGCCCGTTCCCACTAGTAGAGTACGTTAATCGCACAGTCCCGTGCAATTTACTCACTGTTCCACATAATTGAACCTACCACTCATTCTGGTGTGGGAGGTGCATTGCCATTCATTTGAATGGCAGCCCAAATGCATCTCCCACCCACAGTTCAATCGCCCACATCGGAATGCGCGGTACCACATGCCATGTGTTCCATTACAATGCAATTTGGGTCATGACCTAATGACCAAGAAAAAATGTGAGTCCTGAGGTTATACAGGTTGAGAACCACTGCCTCAGGCATATTCCCACATAAGACCTCATTGGGCCTGATTTACTAAATGAAGATGGACTGGAGCAGGAATGTATTGTTATAAACATATCATTGGAACGCTTTAGGCCTCATTCACACCTGAGTGTTTTGTAGCTCGAATGACTAAGCACTACAACTCTCAGCAGGAGGAATCCCTTTGTTTTCAATGGCATCTGTTTACATCTGAGGATTCTGTTGCTTGTAGCAAAATGCTGGTAGCTTGAAAAAGTGCATGTGTTTCTTTAGGGGCAGAGTCAAGCATTCTGGGCCCAATAAACTCTAATATAAGCACCTGAAAATGTGTAAAAAGTGTTTTCCCATGTTTTCTCACCTAGTAACAAGCTTTTCGTTGGTTACAAATAATAATAATAATAATAAAAAACTCAAACTGAAACAAACAGAACTGAATATTGAGTTCTTATAGGTATATTAGGCATCAGAGATTGTTGGTCCAGGGAACATCCAATTGCCTTATGGGATCAGGAAGGATTACCCCCCCCTGTTGGAGCAAATTGAACCATGCTTTATAGGGTTTTTTTCCCTTCCTCTGGATCAACAGGGGGTAACTGTGGGCATTGCGCTTTGTTTAGGCTTTTCTTCTTTTTTTTTAATTTTTTTTTCTCCGTATCTCTATAGGTTGAACTCGATGGACTTTTTTTAACCTGACTAACTATGTAAACCTGAAACATACATAAAAATTGCCTGGACAAACGCTCAAAACAAGCCAGAATAAACCATCAAAATATGGTCAGCTCAAGAGTGAGTGGGGCCCGACTTGCAGGTTCACATGAGTGCACAGATGTCTTTGCGCCCAATACATCCATATGCAGTGCATATGTTGTGTTTGCTGAGTGCATGAAGGATGAAAATAATTGCTGCTTTTGCCTCATGTACTAATAAGGGAAATTAAGTAATGCATATGTTGAAGTGTAGGTAAGCCCAAAATCAATTTTTCATTAAGTTTGTCAACATGCCTCGCTGTATACAGGTTTCTTAAAGAGAAACTTTACCCATATCTTCAAAATGACAACAACGGCACCTTTAGAGATGTTTAGTAATGACAATAACTAGAAGAACACATACTGGCAGGCTTTTTATTCCCTGTGCACCTTAATTTTCTTTACTTCCCCAGTCTTCTTGCAGTGACCATTTTAACTAAAGGCAGGTTTCTAGATCTCCTTTTACTTCCTGGAACTCTGGCACATGTGCCTAGGACAAGTAACCATACACATTATCTCAGGGGAGGAAAATGCATTTCCTGAGATCCCATGAGATTACAGATGAGATTTCCCAGCAATGCTCTGCTGATGTAACCTTCCCAGGATGCAATGCTTGGGCGCAATTGCCTCATTTGTGCCAAAGTGGGCCAGGAAGTAGAAAAAAAATAACTTGTAAGTTAAATAACAATATGTTTATTATCTAATGAATGTAAGATGATTTCATATAGCATGCAGAGCTGTATGCTGATGTAAATTTTAGTCAAAGAGGGTAAAGGTTTACTTTAAGCAAATTTTTTTGTCTGTTGCCAATTTTCATACCCGTAGATCCTGCCAGAATAGAACTTACATAAGTATGACCCTTTTAACCATAAAAAGAAAAAAAAAAGGAAGGTTTATTATCACTCTAACTGTTTTTGTTTTTTGTTTTTCATCAGCCTATAGTTCAGCTTTAATGAAAATGTGGTTCTTTACATGTACAATGACTGGAAAAATGCAAATAAAATCATGCAAATATATTTTGGCGGCACAACCTGTGTATACCTATCTAAAAATTATTTTAAGGCTGTATGCTATACATGAACCTAAGGTTTATCAGAAATGTGTTGTATTTAGTGTTCATTGAATGGAGAAGAAAGAGCAAGTAAGGACAATGTACACTTTCCTCATAAAAGCTGAAAACTGTTATATACGTATCTGAAACTTTATGTCAAAATTGCATTAATCCTTTTTACCATACACAACTGTGTATGCTTAGTAGCCCTGTACACCATAGCGGTGAATCTCTACTAGGAGCTGATAGCCTACAACAACTTTATTGCAGTAGCAAAGCAAAGCTACATTAATGTGTTGCTATTACCAATAGCTGCATTCATCAGTTAAGTAAAGAAGAGCAAACACCCTGCTAACATGGATAACCTCACTCTGCAGTGAAATGGCGTGCAGTTTGGGATGAGGGATATTGCTGTTATTGCTCTTTGAGGGATCCAGTTTTTGTTTTCTTTTCTTTTTATTGTCTTGGAAGGTTGGCTTTATACCCTAAAGCTGGCTTTATTGTGCTACAGTTCAGATGCTTCTGAGCTGACCACAGGGAATTTTTCTAACCTTTATAGAGAAAATATTTTTAGTGACTGTGTTTGAGGCCTGGCAACGGCCTCAGTGTTGCAGCAAGAAAAGAAATTAGAAATATATTGCTGGAAAGATGTTTTCTCAAATATAGAATTTGGGAGTCACAGATTTTTTTTTATTAAAGTTAAGAAGAGACAAATGTGTCATAGGAAGTGTACCATAAAGTCATTTTCTTCACTTTCACAGGCTCGGGTTAATAAAAGAAAAATGTATATTGTACAATTACAATTTATTATTTGTCAACAGTGCATAGTATGTCATAATATAACTATACACCAAATTCTGCTTACTTAATAAACTTAAACAGAATAAACAAACCTTGGTTTGTTTAAAGGGACACTAAACACAGGAGTAAAATCTTAAAAATGCAAGTACCTTAACTATTAACAAAAATGTAACTTATTTTTGTATCACTCAGCAGTCAATCATCAAATCATCTCTGAATTCCTGCTGACACTGCCCTTCTGGATGGTGACTACTTTTGTTCCCCATGGTCCCTGTCTATGTTTTAAAGTAGTCACTGCTCCAAGCTTGCTCCTGTGATGGACTACAATCTCACGTTTAGTTTACAAATTTGTACTGAGATTGTAGTCTGTCACAGGAGTGAGCTTGGAACGGTGGCTACTTTACAACACACATGGGGCATGGGGAACAAAAGTAGCCACCCTCCATAAGGAAGGACAGTGTCAGCACCAATTCAGAGATGATTTGAGGATCTACAGCTGAGTGATACACAAATAAGATACATTTTTGTTAATAGTTAAGGTACTTGAATGCATTTTTAAGATTGAACGCCTGAGTATAGTGTCACTTTAAGGCAGTAACAGCAATGAAAAATGGTTTCTAACTGGGTGCTATGGGACATTACACATTACTATTTAAATCCACTGTGTCAGATATTCAGCTGCACAGAGTGGCAACTTTAGTGCAGAAGGGAGAGCATCTGGAGGAAGCGCTACAGCAGTATGTGACAGCAGTATGAGAAAAGAAAAGGCACAGCATTGCATTTCACATTTTTCAATAGAGAGGTCAGAAATGGCAGTCTATATATTTCTCTCTTTTTAAATGCTTGCTTTATTAGCTGGTCATGCATTTATAAGTATGCAGCCAAGTTAAAAACCTGTAACAGAGTATGAAACTATAGTATTTTTTTGGTTTGGGATTGGTCCATTGCTTTTGAAGGATAAAGTGGAATTAATTTTTTTTCATCTCTAGCAAACTTTATCCATAATTAATTTGCCTTAACTTTAACATTATTATTCTTCTACCACCAGCCTTCACACATCAAGCACTGAATATCAGCCCTGATCTGGGTGCAATTCCTATGGAATATACTGGTAATTATGCCACTGTTAGTGCCCTCTGGTCTCAGAGTATGCAGTTGGGGTGAAATGCCCAAGTGAGATCACTTCTTCTCCACCTCACCCTCATCCCCTAGGACAGAAGGACAGAAGGGGGGATTTATCAAAATTAGAGGAGTAAGAATCTGGAGCAGTTGCCCAGTCAGCTTCTCTCTTCAGTTTGTTCAGTTAAGCTTTGCAAATGAAAGAGAGAAGCTGATTGGTTGCCATGAGCAACTGCGCCAGATTCTGACTGCTCCAGATTCTGAATGCTCCAGTTTTTATAAATATGGTCTATGACAACATAATACTATCTCTGTGTAATGTCTCTTGAGTGTTTTTCAGAGCAAACATCCTCCTTCCCTTTGTGCTATTATATGTTATGTGTCACACCTGCTAAATGTTTTGTTCCTGACAATGTTTTTAGTAACCAATAAGATTTTACCTTTCTTCAGTTTATAGCAAACAGAATCGTTAAAATTGATTGGTGATTGGTTTCTGTGATTTATTACTTAATGCTGTCAATGTGCAACTTATGAAGCCATTATTTGTGGCCAACGATTTTTTTCAGCTAATGCAGTCATTTAATAGTAGAATTAGTACATTCATTACAACAGATAAAATAGAGTTATCATAATTGTTTTCTAAGGGCATGTGTTAGGGTAAAATGTTAACAGTATACCTTTACAACAACACATGACCAACAGGTCACAAAAAAAGCAATTTACATATTGATCTTTCCAGGCATTTAACCATATAACCTATCATTGCAGCTACCTCATCCCTTAACACTCAGCTACAGCAACTACAGCACCTACAGCAGCTTCATCAGCATCATCACCAACATCACCATCAACAGCAAGGACAACAACAGCAACAGCAAAGTACAACCCAGCATCAGCAATCATCCCAGCAGCCTTCCCAGGCTCTTCCTCAACAGCAGTCCCAGCAGCAACCGAATCAACATCAGCAACAGCAACAAAACCAAACACAGACCAAGAGCCAGAACCAACTAGCTTCATGCCAGCAGCCCTGCAGCTCTCCTCAGAAACCTAATCAATCACCAGGACATGGCCTTCCTTCACCTATAACTCCACCAAATCCTCTGCAGGTACAGCTTTCCATTTAATTATACGAGTAAATTAACCCAGAATGTCAAAGAATAACTGCTAAAGGTAAAGTGCCACTTTTTTTATTTCCTGTTAAAAGCATGGAATGTGTGCTATTTAAATCAAATGGGTTACCCTCTGTATATACATTCATGTGTAATACTGATGGTACCACTGACTTTCTAAAGTATACAAAATGCATTTGTAAAACTCTGCTGTTTCTTAAAAATGTTTTAGTAGAAACCAATATAT